TGCCAGATATAACGTCAAGAATTGCAACATAAAATAAATTTGAAGTCTATGAACACTGACCAATGGATAAGTTTGTTTCTTTGGCGGTGTAGGCGCAAAAGCAAAACAAAAATACAACACAAAAACAACCTCTAACGTGTGCTTTTGAGGGGAACGTTCTATCACGCGAGAAAACTCGCGCGTTCACCCAAGAACTCGCGTTTTATGTTTACTCTTGCTACTTTTCCTCTATCGTTTATCGAAAATAAATGGTAACTACGACAAATTGATAACAATGGGGAAATATAGTTATTACGGCAAGTTAGCCTGGGAGCAGGCTCTTCGCGCGGCCCTGCGAAGAGCCTGTTCGCAGGCAGCGGCAAGTATGAAAGGATTACTTTGACTGCTGAACAAGCTATTTCTTTTTACACAACATTAAATATGCCGCGATCATCTGTACAGCTGTACATATGTCTGGAGTTCCATATCGGCCATAAGCGTCCCAAAACGTTTTTGCTTTTCAAAGTTTGATTTAGGTTACGGTGATTAAAACAATTTGGTTTGGTTATCTCAACTTAAAATATTTCTTACCGTAAGATAAGATTGGGAACAACTCTACTTCTCTCATTCAAACTCTTCTTACTTACAACGAGGGTTGCACATAAGGCCACATTTATAATAATGCTAATAAGGAAAAGCCTCTACTATAATCCTGTCCATTCCTACCTGATCTTTCAGATATAAATTGTGGCCTTCCCACACCAAGTCATCAACATCAATAGTGTCTCCCAGAGTCTGTTCAGGGTGGTACTCCACTACAAGGGATAACACCATTAACATCTCCACCACCAGCTGCCGGTACTCAGGTTCAGGGATCCGATTCAGGGCCGCTTCAACGCAAAGCGCAAATTTCAGCTCGCCTGGGGTCATCTGAAAAAAAAATGGAACCAGCGGTCGATTTAGAATAAGAAAATTTATAAGAAAAAAATAAAACAAATTTGTGAACCCATTTGTCTGTCTCGTTTTAATAAAAACGGCTTCTTCAATCGTCTTTCACTTTACTGAGCGATGACAACGGACTAACCTTTAACAAGGATATCCGACACAAAATATATTTGAAATGTCTAATAGTGGATGTCTACTTGAGCTTGTAATACTAGAGAAGATGGAGCGCGTCGTCTCCATGTTCCTGCCACAATTCAAGGAGGAACCTTGATCGGCAAGCCCTAAGAGGAGCCTCGAGTAAAAAGACGCAATAAATATCACCAGCAGTGAAGTTGTATTGCGTACATACCTCTTGTACCATGGCATTCGGTAAATAGTGCTTGTAAATTTTCAGACCTCGGCACTACAACAAGAACAAAAAAACATATAAATCTATAAAACACAGTTAATGAAGAAAAAAGACCAAAAGTGCCTACAGCAGGGAGATCAGAGAGGATGGAGGGAGCGTTAGGCAAGTTCACAGACTTGAACCTGATCAAAAATTACTCNACACAACATTAAATATGCCGCGATCATCTGTACAGCTGTACATATGTCTGGAGTTCCATATCGGCCATAAGCGTCCCAAAACGTTTTTGCTTTTCAAAGTTTGATTTAGGTTACGGTGATTAAAACAATTTGGTTTGGTTATCTCAACTTAAAATATTTCTTACCGTAAGATAAGATTGGGAACAACTCTACTTCTCTCATTCAAACTCTTCTTACTTACAACGAGGGTTGCACATAAGGCCACATTTATAATAATGCTAATAAGGAAAAGCCTCTACTATAATCCTGTCCATTCCTACCTGATCTTTCAGATATAAATTGTGGCCTTCCCACACCAAGTCATCAACATCAATAGTGTCTCCCAGAGTCTGTTCAGGGTGGTACTCCACTACAAGGGATAACACCATTAACATCTCCACCACCAGCTGCCGGTACTCAGGTTCAGGGATCCGATTCAGGGCCGCTTCAACGCAAAGCGCAAATTTCAGCTCGCCTGGGGTCATCTGAAAAAAAAAAAATGGAATCAGCGGTCGATTTAGAATAAGAAAGTTTATAAGAAAAAAAATAAAACAAATTTGTGGACCCATTTGTCTGTCTCGTTTTAATAACAACGGCTTCTTCAATCGTCGTTCACTTTACGGAGCGATGACAACGGACAAAACTTTAACAAGGATACCGGACACAAAATATATTTGAAATGTCTCATAGTGGATGTCTATATGAGCTTGTAATACTAGCGAAAAGGAAGCGCGTCGTCTCCATGTTCCTGCCACAATTCAAGGAGGGAACCTTGATCAGCAAGCCCTCAGAGGAGCCTAGAGTCAAAAGACGCAATAAATATCACTAGCAGTAAGTTGTATTGCGTACATACCTCTTGTACCATGGCATTCGGTAAATAGTGCTTGTAAATTTTCAAACCTCGGCACTACAACAAGAACAAAAAAACATACAAATCTATAAAACACAGTTAATGAAGAAAAAAGACCAAAAGTGCCTACAGCAGGGAGATCAGAGAGGATGGAGGGAGCGTTAGGCAAGTTCACAGACTTGAACCTGATCAAAAATTACTCCCAAACCTCAAACATTTAACCCGGTGTGAGCCACAGATAATTCAAAGCTGTCACTTAGGGCCGGCTGCCGGAGAGTTTCTCCGACTACTGTGAGTTCGACCCCAAGCTTATATAGGTGCAGTGTAATAAATCTTGTAGTTAACGCCGTGACGTTCTTGTGCTCAGATGATCAGGTGCTAAAGCGGGCTATAACCTTCCCTTATCACATTCGTCTTTTAAACATGTAAGCGCTCATACCTTTTCGAGAACCTTCCAGAATTTGGGGTAAAAATCCTCAGGGGCTCGGTTGAGGGCCCCATCAAGGCACCTCCTCCTGATCCACTGCCCGAGGCGGTCATCTCCTGAATGAGGGTCCTCTTCGTCGTCTTCTTTGGCTCTCTGATTTTCCTGGTTATTACGGTCAGATGATGGGAGCAATCCTCTGCCACTCATGTTCTAATTTTAACAACAATGTCGGGTATAAAATCACCAACGGAAAATCACTGTCAGATTGGAGTATGCCTAGCATCATGAGTAGTGTTTTTACAGACAACAAACTTCTGACTAAAGCGGCTAGAATATTTGCTGACAGCCAATGTCTAGCATTTCATAAATTGCTTGCACTAAAGGTTCAAATTTGCTCCAGTCCTTAATCTGAGTTTTCGCACCCTAAATGAGCTGGACCCTTGTTCACTGCAAGTTACTGCCAAACTCCATTAGTTTGCTATCATCCAATTATATTAAGAGACAGAATGCCGCAGAGTGAGAGTTAAATGACCTGTCCAACACTCGAACCCAGGCCGAATGAGCCGGAGTCCACCTTCACGTAATCCACAAACTGCTGACTGAGACGTCTAGCGCCCCTCCAGGCGAAAAGCTAATAAGCGTCGATAATCGTTAGCAGTTTCTTTCACTTATCCGAACACGGAAGTTTACGATGATAGTCGACACAAATATCAACTGTAGTTAAGGTCCGGGAGCTTTGAGAACGAGGGGGAATGGGGAGACCCGTGACAACACTTACTAAGGCTCTCAGTGACACACAGGGCTTTAGATTCGTTGAAAAATAATTTTCTGTGACTTAAAATGCTGTGCACTTAAACAAAAAGAAAATGCATAACCCCTTTATGTCCTATGAACAGTAAACGTTTGTTTCGCATCTCCTGCTGGTTTAAGTTATATTGCAGTACAGTGCATTACAAAACAAAAATTCAATAAACATGTGCAAACAACCTCTTAAAAACCAAAAATCTTAAACACCTTAACTTTACCACTCAATGTGCGAGGAAGAAAAAAACAAAAAGAACCCAAAGAAATCAAAATAAACGTGCTTACAAGTTATTTCCCTTCACCAATTACGGTGGTTAAGTAACACTTTAGATTACAAATAAAGTGCTTTGCTGTTTAACATACCATGTGCCTCCCTGCAAAGGCTTTAGCAGCACTTATTTTCTGTTAATAAACATGAAAGTGTGCAGTTAAACTGTAAGTGAGAAAATAATAATCGTGCAACCACAAGTGCAAAAGGTTTAGTATTTTAACTATCTGATTATACCCATAGAAGAAAGAAGAAAACTCGAAAACTATGCAAACAACTTTTGTTAAACTGATTAACTTGTGCTACTTATCAGATTGTTTGGAATGGCCGAGGAGGATAATTTACGGGCAGCACACTTACTGTATGACTGCTTCTTGTTAAAATCTTAGTTTAATAAGCAAAACAACACAGACGGTGAGATTGCTGTTGCCTGAGTGGCTGGTAAGGTGAGAGGTACTCGATCAGTGAAGGAAATTTTGTTAACGTTTGATAAATGATGACTGACCCTGATTGCACTGGATAGCCTTCTGATTCCAACTCTCTTGGGAAGATCGATGTTCATAATGGAGATCTGCCTCTCTGGCGATGGCTTGTCTGAAGATAACAACGAAATGTGTGTGACACGAAACAGTGTAAACAAAGAACTCCCACACAAGCTGGATTTAAAACGAATCGCATAAAATGCCACGAGCTTTGAAGAGCTCCATATCAACTTCCGGATAAATTCCATCAACTTTCCCTCATAACCAGAAACTTCCCATGTAGGTAAGAGTCATGACATTACGTGACATAAGGTTACACTGAAAAATAGGAGGGCTAATTTGTAAAAATTGAAATTCTAGGTAAAAAACTGGTCCAAAGTGACGAACTGAGCTGTTAGAGCAGTACTCACTCTAGAGAAGTAGTTTTTTTAAAAAAAGACTTGTATTTGTAGCTCAAAGGAACAGAGAAATCATCTAGATGCTTTAGACTAGAACCGTCAAATACCGACGAAATATACTTAAAAATTTCAGGCTTCCCCTGAGCTCTTGTCTTTCTCAAGTACGGGTAAAAAGCAGACTAAATAACTGGCTGACACCAGGATCTGTCCTCACCATTGGAAACAACCAACTCTTTACCACTGAGGATGTGATACAGCAGAGTCTTCATCTCAAAAGGACTCAAGTTCATGAAGAATTCAGCCGCGTCCTCACCTGAAACATAACAACAGTTAAAGGAGCTCAGTCACCGCACTTTGAGTTAATTTGGCCACGTACAAACTTACGTTTAAATTGAAGGGAACATGAAAATAGTAGTTTACTAACATAGAAAAACACCAAAGAGATAGTAATAAACCATAAAGGAACAAGGATGGGTAAGGATGGAGAAGATTAACACGGATTAGAAACGAGGAACTAGAAATATTTAGGCTAAACTTTTCAAGAAGTTATGAACTGGACAGGCGATGAGAGCAAAGAAAATCAAAACTTCAAACCATACAAATTTAAATTGATTTTGTTTCAAAACAGGATAGAAACACTGAAAGTGTCTTACCAGAACAATCCAGTGATCTAGCCAGTTCAGCCACCATAACTTCTATAATCAGACCAACACGAAGTCTTAACATCTCGTTAAACAGGGACGGTTCAGTTCTAACAAAAATTCCAAGGTACACCAGCAGCTCCTGGTAATTAAAAATAGAGCGGCATGGGTGTTTTTAAGTCAACTGCAGTTAACACAAAATACAGTTTGAAAGAAGTAGGGTAGTCAGTGACAGCATTAAATAGATTAGTCAGATATAGGAAGCAATCATAATGAATGAGACAGGTCAGAAAAGGAGGAAGCCAAAAAACAAAACTGCAAAAAGGACGCAGGGTGGCCAAGTGGTCAGCGCGTCGGACTCGCAATCCATCGGTCCCGGGTTCGAGTCCTGCTCTAACCACTACCTGGATTTTTTTCTCGGTAGTCCCGAGTTCAAATCCGCGGCCACGCTTGTAAATAGCCAACTGGTTTACCTCCGACCAGTTGGGATTCTTAACGATGTTATGTTCAATTTGAATTATTTGTTTCAGTTGTTTGCTCGGCCCCACTAGCCTTTGTGCTATAAACACTGCCGAGGGTAAATAAAGGTTTTCTTGTTTCAACAAGGAAGCTGGCTCAGTATGGTATTTGATGTGAGAGTAAAATTCGATAGCTAATACCCGAAGTATCTTAAATGATTATCATTACAGTGTACCTTACCTGTGTTACTACACCAGTGCTCATGTCTTCACCAAACACATTGAAAATGATATTCTTCATCTCCTCTTGTGGAAGAGGTCTACAACAAGAACAACGCAAATACAACATGTTATCACAATGAACTGAGAAAACTGAGAAAAATGTATTCCTACAAGAACAACAGCACTCACCTTGTGATGACTTCTTCATGTCCCCCTTGGGGGATACCCACAGTCAATTGTTTCTGATGAACTAACAGATCCGTGGCAGCCTGGTAAAGAAAAATGAAAACATCACGACGAACGAACGTCGACCGAATGAAAAAAGTGGAACACACAAAAAAACGAGACTTCCATGAAAGAACCTCAAGGACATCCATTGATTCAACAAATTTACCCGGTAACTATAACCATTTTGAAAACAAACTGAATTTTTTCCACGGCAAAATGGCTATGCTTTCTCCTGGACTCACATTTGAGTGAAAGTAACGCTTGAAATTGTTTAACCTATCAAAATAATTGACAAGAAAGGAGACACAACAAAATAAACATTGAAACTACCTCTGCCAAATCTTCCACTCGCTTCTTCAAAAGCCCTGCTGTGTGCCTGACTAAAGACCACATTTTAATCTGGCAAGCCTACCAATCAATCAACAGAAAGTGTTAAAAAGTAAAATTTCATTACAAATGACTCAAAGCAACAAAAGTCCTAGAGGCCACAATAACAATTTCATTCGACAAGCAATGAAGTTAACTATTAAATTAACAGGTAAACTTCAACAAGAGATTCTAAATTTGACACAGTCACAATGTTTAAATAGAAAAAGAAATACATATACCTTCTCGTACAATTCACCTAAGAGCTTTGCGACAGTAATTCCTGGTTCACCAAACAGTTGTGTGTCGAAGTCAGGACCCCTGAAGATTTAAACGACAACAGTTAATAAATAATAGCAAGGTGGCATGAAAAGATGCACGAATGGGGTTAACGTTGGCGAGTTTACCAAGAATGGACGCACAATAAAACCTCTTAAAGAATTAAGGATTGTTCTTGGGTGTGAGATGTTCGTGATACAGAGGTGCTGTATTCTGCAAGGTAGTCTTCATACGAGCCAAGTGGCCCATCAGGCTGGAGCTTATCCCGGTTTCTGTGGCATGAAGCGACTAGGAGTATTTCTACTTCCCCCTAGCTGGGATGTTTGTNAGTGTGGATGTAGAAATTACGTGAAATAAGTGAACTTTCCGATATCGCTAATGGTAAGGAGTTAAAAACCGGCCTGGTACGCCAACTACGATTAATACGTGTATATATATTTTTTTAATCGTTTGTGATGTTTACTTTGTATTGTACAGGAAATGCAGTATATCGGCCTGTACATCGATAGTCGCAGCTTCTTCCAACTGATTCAGATATTCTCTCGTCTCCATGTCCGTTGACATAGCACGTGACCTGGCTGGCGTCCACCCATTGGCTGCTCTATCTTCAAATTCGTCACATCCGGGAACTGCATGACAAAGATCGGCAAAATGACATCAATACACTAGCAAAAGTGAGAACATTTGACGAAAACACAACTGGACACAGTTTGAACAAACTATGTCCAGTTTAACTAAACTACAACTCCAGTTTCTCTAGTTTCCAGTTAAATTACAACTCCACCCGGGATTAATAAAAGTTCACTTTGTTCTATAATTTTGCAATCTTTACAGATCAAATGGTCGATTCCAATGATCTGTTCCAAAATGGTCTGTCTTCTAGACCAAGGTTGCGCTACAATAGTAAAATTACGTGCACAACGTCCCAAAATGAAAAACGCTTGGGATGGATTGATTCTATAGTTACTTTAATTTGAAAATTTTACGCCTAGTTTGTGTTTTCTTTCTTTGCTCGTGAATAATGCTTTCTGACACTAGCAAGAATATCTTATCTTGCCTCTTCGCTCACTCGGGCGCAGAACAATACCTAGGCCATAACCCTTTTCACAGCTAACTTTTCTCATTTTCATTACAATATAATTTAGCATGTATGCGCGGCAATTTCGGGCTATTTTGCAGTTTCAGCCAGAAATTGCTTCGCGTCCACGTTGTATTACATTGTGACGCAAATGAGAAAAACTAATCGTAAAAAGAGCTATTAAATGGATTTGCAACTCCGCAACGACTTGAATTGGCAAATTTCCTAAGTTTACCAATGACTACAAGTTGTGTGTTTCGATTGCTGCACTAGTTGCAGCGCTGCATTTTCTTTGGTACTTTGATGGACTGCCTTCTAATTTCCCTAGTCAGCAACTTGTGCAGCTTGTATAAACATCACCCATTCCCATGGGCAACGTATTCAGTTTAAAGATCAATTTAATACATTCAATTTAATAATGCCAGAAAGTTTATTTATAAAGACCATTTCCTAACTAAAATGGAGTTAGTTTGTTGTTTCCTTGTGGGTAACTTTTTATTGATGAGTTATACAACGAGTTTAACTTTCTTTGTGAGCTGTGCGTTCTACTAAGAGTTCAACTGTCTTTAGCTTTCTGTAAATACGACTATCATTTGCGAGCTAGTTTTTTGACATGTTAATAAAGTTATTTATCTATTGTAATGTAATTATTTATTTATTCATCTTATATCATTTTAGGCGTTTCCAAGAAGTTACTTTTGTGCAACCAAACTACGAAATAGCAGACATTATAGTTGGTGTTTAGAAGTTCTAGTATAAAAGACATGTCAACTCTTGCATTTCAACAATTATGTTTCGTCCTGAAATAATTACACGTAAAAAAACCCTCAAAATCTCATGAAACCAGAACATAATGTCTGGCCTGGATCATTCTTAAAGCAGGACTAAACTAATTAAGGATGAGTGCTTAATTCAAATTTAGTTTACAACTTGTCACTAATGTTAAATTCTCTCATTGTTGTAGCCACCATTTTAACTTTAGACATGTAAAACTGTTAACTGATAAGTGACCTGAAAAGTGCTTTGGAAGTTTACAGCCTCCCTGACGGTTCTTACAAATCTGTATAGTTTTATCCTGTTTGATAGTTGGTTGGGCTGAGAATGGCAAGATCTCTTACATCAGAACTTAATTGATGTTTAAGACGAGCACTGTTCCTGGCAAGCGCAAATGCAAGTGTGAACCTATGTTACAAAGACACGCTGCATGAGAAACGAGAGCATGGTATCACTATATTGTAGTGATACTTCGTAGTTTCCTTCATTAATTATTGAAAAATAAAAACCTCCTCTTGCCAAATACGAGCTCCACTTAAAGGAGTTATTCTGTAATAAACCGGTTATCAAACAAGGCTCGATTACCAGTCGCTGTTCGAGAAAGGAGCCCGTGAACCGGACTCGAGTGAGCGGCGGACATCGAGCCTTTTGCCAAACCAAATCATTACATTACTGACATGATTCTTAATTTTAAATGATACCAAGTTCAGAAATTTCACTTTAAAAAGTCGCAGAAACAGAAGGAACTAAATTAAATCACACAAACAATAATACTAATACTAATACTACTTCTACTACTACTACTAATAATAATACTAATACTACTACTACTGCTACTACTAATACTACTACTACTACTACTACTAATACTAATAATGATAATGATAATGATAATGATGATGATGATGATAATGATAATGATAATGATAATAATAATAATAATAATAATAATAATAAACAGAAAAAAAAAAGCAAAAATAAAACAGGATTAGTGAGTTGTGAGCGCTCCTGCATAGTACCTGATCCGGTCGGTGAAGGAAGCCTGCGTGACCCGTCACCAGTGTCAAATGAAGTAGAGTTGAACCACCTGCTTGGTGCTAAAACCCACGTGATTAGTGCATGCTAATCTTACTGTCCTACTCAAGAAAACACAGACTTACTTACAGGGAAACCGTCCCTTTTCTTAACTTAAAAATCTCAGTTAGATCGCTAAAATCCTTACAGTTACATTTTGTAGAACAGTGTTGAACAAATGATAGAACGGTTCGTTAGGACAGCCTTGAAAATATGAGGATTGCCTTTATCAATAAAGCAAAGAAAACCTAGNCTGCAGATAAAGCATGAGTAAATCACTTAAACAAAGGCTTGTTAAAATTGTTGACTGTATATCTTCTTTGGTTTCCAATTCGCTTAACTGTTAGTGCAACATGGTCTAACTAATTTCCCCAAAATCGAGATTCTGAATGAATAAATGATTGACTGACTTACTAACTGACTGAATGACTAGCTGACTGATGAGTTAAATAGCTAAACGCTTATCCTATACATGCATGCTGATTATGGCTTCAGTTCACAGTATACATATCCCTGTGCGTGAGATTTAGCTGAAAGTGATAAGGTGCTACTGCCAGCCCATTCACAGTAAATTACCCACACCCCTATCAGAAGATATACCACAGTACACCCAGCTTTTCTCCTTTCTCAGTTTCTTAAATGAACATGTATTCGCGCCCAGTTTGCTCGATGAATTTATCGTTCCCAGACTCCCTACGAGAGAGGCCTTGGTTCTTTAGTGGTTCTTTAAGGTGGCTCCCTAAAGTTTTACGATCGCACGCGCGCATAGGACGAAAGCTCAAGTAATCTACGCGCGCTCAAAGGAAAACGCCAGTGTTTTTCGATTTTTGTGACGTCAACATGTGCACAAAAAGCAAAACTGACAGTGAATTTCCTCGCGTTTCCTACGGTGAATCTTTTTTTAAATTTGGCTCAGTTGTAAGTGACCACATACAATTCCTATAAAACACCCTATTTTTGTTAAAATCTGTCAGAGCTAATCTGATATATTTAGAAGAACTACATATTACAGAATATTGGAAAAACCGTCTGAACAACCTCGACTTTTTGCCAATTTAGAATGTCAGGCAATATCATTACCATGATGTGGCAAAGTATGAAAAAAAATCCCCGAAGGTAAATATAAATATCAAGGAGTTCAGGCCAAAATGAGGAATACATCTGCCTGTCATTAGATGAGATGTTGCCATGGTAACGGCCTTAATCCAAAAATTGATAACCAAAAAATAATCTACAATGTATATTTTAACAGTACTCATACTGGTAAATCACTACGGGGAGACTTTAAGAGATATTAACTAAGTTTCCTTTTCTAACCCACGCTCTATAGGGAGGGTGTTCGTAAATACTCTAGGGAGCCACCCTAAACGCTCTTTGGGGTCGTCAGGCAATCTTTCTCCCCACCCGACGAAGTTCGTTAAGGTGGAGTGCGTGACGGGCCTTAAGAACATTCGCGTAAGAGAACTAAGTGCGGACCTGAGGTTAACTATTAAAATACCATGACAATATGTAAGATATAACTACATACGTGATGTGCCACTAGTCGAATCACAGTAGACTGAGATACTTCGGCTTCTCCTGACCATTCCCTTGTAACTCGCCTTTCTCTTAACAGGACTATGTCCAGCGTGACTTCCAGATCGACTCTGTAACAAAAATAAGGCCAGTGAGATACAAAAGCTATTAATTACACAATTTACGACGTCTATTAGTGTGAACAATCACAAATAAACAAGTAAAACTGAATCACCGTGACGGTGTTTACAGNACAAAGAAAAAAATGTAATTTAGTTTCTGCTTCTCGTACTTGTACCCAGACGAATGCATAATCTCTGGAAAAGTGCGAGACCGGTTTCTACATGCTCTTGTCTCCAGTCAAAACATCTCACAAGAGACGGAAAAGGTACCACAATGACTGACTGAAAAGGTTTGCAAACACGAACTGGACAGTGACTGGGAGTTACAAAGACTTTCTGCATGGTACAACCAACAAAGTTAAAAATAAGTGACCGTGGAAACTACATATCTGGCAAGTGCACAAAACAAGCTGTGCATACGCTAAATCAAAAGGCAATCCTGTCCATGGCTAAACGGCTTTTTCTGACAAGTTTCAACCAGACTAGGGAAGTCAGTACATATACCATGCATCATTACATGTATTAAGGATGTGCCAAGTGCCATATGAGTTGTCATGCCAACCTACCAAGCATGGAGTGTGTGATTATCATTGTAAGAATCGGTCTTCCAAGACGCCTCCAGTTAGCTCCGAGAAAACCCACAAGAGACTTGATACGATCCGCAAGGAACTCATTATCAAGAGCCAGGTAAAACTGGTGGTAATCCAGAATCTGAAACGAGAAAGCTATGGAGTTAGAATCTGTCAGCGCAAATAGACATCCGTTCAAAGACAAGGTTTGAAGGAAAAGTTCAAAGAAAATTTCTCCACTCTCTTTCATCGCACCTATGTGATCAGATTGGTGTATCACAAAAATTTGTTAAATATATCTTCTTTACAGTTTAAAGTTGAAATATCATCACATTCATAGCCTGCGACCAGTTTCTCAATTGCTGTCGCACAAGTGAAGAATCTGCAGATATGCATATTGCGACTTTGCTGCTTGTGTCATAGTGCAAGGGAGGCTGCTCCAAGGCTACAACATTCATAAAAGATGCCTTTAGTAGCCCTTTTCCCTGTTAATTTTTCTTTCTGCATTACAATAAAATTCAACATGGATGTGAGGTAATTTTGGGCAGAAACTACAAAATTGCCTGAAATTACCTCACATTAATTATTTTTGCTTAGCACATTGTTAAATACATTTTTTTAAAATTTTACTAAGTTTCTTGAGTTCACCTGAGGCGTAAAGGCTAGAATGGAGTATGAGTTTCCAACATTATACAACATGCTAGTCCCTAAGACTCCAATGTGATAGTTGGGCCTGCAATGAGAATCAATAAGTCAGAGCTGAGCTGCTCTTTCCATCACTTAAAGATCACGGAATTGAAGAACTTGCTTTAATATTAAACACATTACCTGCCAGTCAGTTTTAACTTGGAATTTTTTCCTGCAATATTAAAGAGAGTCGTAAGTACTTAACATTGTCATCAGCTGTAGTTGTAGTATAAGCTTAAGATGTAGGGCCTGGGATGTAGGGTTAGACAATAGAAAGCAGGGCAAGAAAAACCCAGGTCTGATTGCCGGGGCAAGTAAATTTTGCTCTTGGACAAGTGAAAATAGAAGTTCAGTGGCCTGGTGGGCAAGTGAAATTAGCCTCAATAGTCTTGTGAAAATGTCAGCTTAATAAATGATAATTTCCAGTCAGAAGCTATTTCCAAACTTAAGACTTCAAGATTAGTTAACCATTGAGTTAAAAGAATGGATTACTTAGGAATCCAAGAATACTTTGTTCACGTTTGTCCTCTAATTGCCATACTGGTCGCCACATCGGCAAGTAATAATTAAGTGGGGGCAAGTGAAAACTGAAATTTACTGGCTCACTAGGCAAGTGGAATTCATTTTTTTTCCTGCCCTGGAAAGCATTTTAAGACAAAGTGTCAGGATCAGGTTAGGGCAAGAGTAGTGTCTTGTTAGGGTTATCCTCATCTTGGTGTCAATATACACCGAATCACGTACAGTGCTTGTTCTTACCAAGCTGCTGGTACATGGAACTGAGGGTGCGAGCTGGAAGGACTTGTATTGGATTAACGTTCTGAGTGACTTGCACAGGAACATCAAGGTTTCTAAGCTGTGTTCCGACCAACTCATCTTCAGCAAGAAGGGACACTGGAATTTTATAAGCAAAACAAGACAGTATATTTCTTAAGCTTTTTTTTAAGGCTTAAGTTTTGTGAATTGTAACAAACACAAAACTTTAATGTTCAAATCATGAAATCGCATCATTTGATCTTTTATTAATGAAAGGTGAATGTCAGTATACAACTGCACATGTACATCTTTGGAACTAGATAACAGGTTTCATAGTGGTAATGTGTTACAATAATTTTATTACTATCATGTTTAAAATAAATTAATTATCATTTTGTAACTTAAAGAGGTCATGTCACTCTTAAAGACAAAGTTTGCCTTCAAGTTTGTCCACTGCCTGCAACTACAAGCTAATTAAATTACTCAGCACTGAGGCAATTGACAGTGTAACAACACTGAATGAGAAAATACAGTGTGAGTACCTTGTACCACTACATCTGGTCTCTTGTCAGTAGAGTGTCTCCGATTCAGAGGATCAATCTCTCCAACAGCGATAAAGTTCTGTTGTAATGTTATTTTAAAAAAATCAGTTAGTCAGTTACTGCTACATGTTCAACTAATGCCACCACTGCATCACTTTGTATTGTTTACTTGTACCTTTAATAATTTTGTTGTAAATTATCATTATTGTATCTTTCTTTCCTTTTTAATATAAACTCTTGCTCTAGCCTCAATTAGTTCTGGAACTAGCTGCAGGGGTGGTAAGCAAGTGTAACAGTAAGTAAGAAAACAAAATAAAATTAAGTTCAAGTTAAAGGTCACTGCAACTGCGTAACACAAGCAATAGTGTCTATAAATGGAGATTTGACTGAAAGTAGACAGTTAAGAATGTCCTGCTAAAATTTCTGCTTATACTTCTTGCTAAACCATTCAACAATCTCCGTCTCCAAGTTAAAAGGTTCAAGTTCTGTTAATATCAGTGCAGTTTATACTGTACCTCTTTCAGTAAGCATGCCAGGACATACAGTGAGTGAGACCACAAGTGCAGCACATTTTCACCACATTTTCTTTCCACACTGTGGGGATTAGCTTTCTCAATATCAACCTGTTAATGATGGTGTGCGTAAACATGTTATACCTTTACTTAATACGTGTGTAATAGACTTAAACTATATGTTCAAGTTTTGAAAAACAAGACTGTGCTACAGGGCTAGTTTGCAGGGCTAGTCTTCTAGCAAAGATTGCTGCTGTTTCTTGCTTTTCAAACACATACACACACATGTGAAGGTGAGTTTTAAAATTATGTGTTACCTTGTTCTTATCACTCCCCAAAGCAACCCAACCTTCTAACCAGGAACTACAGAATAAATGTTAATTAACCACAATGTAACTACAAAATGTACCTTGTCCCTGGGCACATAAAAAAATTCTGGAACCAAAGGAAGGCCTGCGTTATCTCTCACCAATAGAGGCTCCAGTAAATCAGTGTAGGTTTTCACCTGTTAAAATCATGAACAATACATTGACCATTATATGACTTGTGTTTGTAGCCAATATAATGCATGCTCTGATTGGCTAACTCTAGGGCATTATTCTCCCATAATGCTCACAGGCCAATTATGGGCCTGCAAGAATAAAGCAAAAACCCCCAAAATAAACAACTTATTAACCTTGAACGTTTGGTCTTTACGGGAAAATCTCAAACCGCGGCATTGCCATATTGACATCACCATCGCTTGTTCAATACGGCAAAGTCTTGGTTTGAGATTTTCCTGTAAAAACCTCACTCTTGGTCAATAAATAGTTATGTATTAAGTCATCATTAAATAAATTTGTTATAAATAAATCAAGCAGAATCAAGGACCTGATTATTCCTACGAGAACACTGATCAATTGGGACTGGAAGATAGATTATCCCAAGACAAATGCTGTAAAAGCTCTCCTTAGCTTCCCTTCTTATCAGTGTTTCAAGTATTCCCCCTCCTCCCTCCCCCTGGGACATGGAACTTCAAAAAGGCTAGTAATAAAACTGAAATTTATTAACAGGATATAAGTAAATATAACACTAATTAAAAATTATTAATTACTCATGAACTGGAATTTCCTGCTCATAAATGATTACAATTTTGGCTACAAAACCACCGCTTTATTTGGGCATACCGGTATACTGTATCTTTGTATTTTTGGAGTCTCCCATCCCGATTACTCTATGTTAATTTTTAATTCTTGGTAATGGTGTATTTATTAAGAAGAAAGAAAACAGTTTCCATAATACTGTGGAATTGCTGATTTATGATTTGCATTAAGGCCTTCAAAGGTCCCCCAAATGGATGTACACGTACACACAAGGCACAGTCATATTTCAACACAGGTTGATTTAACTAATTTTGCTCAAGACAAAGGCTGTATTGTTGCACTACAGTTAAGTTAATGTTGTTAAATATAATTTGTTTCTGATTACAAAAAGTTAACATAATAGAAATGAATNACCTGTTAAAATCATGAACAATACATTGACCATTATATGACTTGTGTTTGTAGCCAATATAATGCATGCTCTGATTGGCTAACTCTAGGGCATTATTCTCCCATAATGCTCACAGGCCAATTATGGGCCTGCAAGAATAAAGCAAAAACCCCCAAAATAAACAACTTATTAACCTTGAACGTTTGGTCTTTACGGGAAAATCTCAAACCGCGGCATTGCCATATTGACATCACCATCGCTTGTTCAATACGGCAAAGTCTTGGTTTGAGATTTTCCTGTAAAAACCTCACTCTTGGTCAATAAATAGTTATGTATTAAGTCATCATTAAATAAATTTGTTATAAATAAATCAAGCAGAATCAAGGACCTGATTATTCCTACGAGAACACTGATCAATTGGGACTGGAAGATAGATTATCCCAAGACAAATGCTGTAAAAGCTCTCCTTAGCTTCCCTTCTTATCAGTGTTTCAAGTATTCCCTCTCCCCCCTCACCCTGGGACATGGAACTTCAAGAAGGCTAGTAATAAAACTGAAATTTATTAACAGGATATAAGTAAATATAACACTAAAATTATTAATTACTCATGAACTGGAATTTCCTGCTCATAAATGATTACAATTTTTGCTACAAAACCACCCCTTTATTTGGGCATACCAGTACACTGTATCTTTGTATTTTTGGAGTCTCCCATCCCAATTACTCTATGTTAATTTTTACTTCTTGGTAATGGTGTATTTATTAAGAAGAAAGAAAACAGTTTCCATAATACTGTGGAATCGCTGATTTATGATTTGCATTAAGGCCTTCAAAGGTCCCCCAAATGGATGTACATGTACACACAAGGCACAGTCATATTTCAATACAGGTTGATTTAACTAATTTTGCTCAAGACAAAGGCTGTATTGTTGCACTACAGTTAAGTTAATGTTGTTAAATATAATTTGTTTCTGATTACAAAAAGTTAACATAATAGAAATGAATGCCTTACTGGCAAAAAACAAAGAAAAGAAAATCACTCTATGCTGAAACATTAAATATGAACATTCTGTCATAATGGCTTTTCTGATTGCTGTATTTAACACCTTTTTCACAAAAAAGCTATCAGGAAGGCTAATTGAACCCCATTGTTTATAGCTTGTGAAACCTTAAAATATTAATTAATTTAAAATAAAGATGTAGATGTCTGTTGGTAGTTAGGAAAATGGCCCAGGATGAATAACTTTAGACTCCATTTCTAGCTAGGAATTCAGAAATATCAGCATACATGACTTGCTTTATAAGCACTTCCACATTCAAACTGGTTACCTAAGTTTAAATGCACGATTTATCATGTTTGTATTATATTCACGCACGAAGCAGCAGTGAAAAGTCTTGGCCTCCTGTATCTACAGTAGATATTTTGTTCACGAATTTGCTCTTTTAAAAGGAATACACTGACATATTTAATATACACAAAATGATTCAATATTTCACAATGTCCACTGTATTATACACAGTCATTACACCAAATGTTCGTCCACAATCAATAAAGTGTACTTGAACAGAGATCAAACTCAACATCAGTCATTTCTACATTGCTGTGCATGTCCATTGCACTGTACTTTTCTGTACTTTCTGCGTAAACAACGGCTACACAACTTGAAGTAAAGGCTACATAATTAAGCAGACCTACAGGATTAGCAGGCACATTAATTAGCAATGACTATGAACACATTTGACATAACAGATTTTAAATTGCATCAGATCAAAACTAGAATACACTCCACATCCTGTGTGATTTTAAGGCAGAGCCAACAAAAGGCACTAAAACTACATCTGAATTTGAGAATTTTTGCATAATTACTTTCAGGTGGGCAAGATTGTTTACAGAGATAGCAAAATGTCACGTAGTACATTTGTTTAAACAACAGAAAAGCAATANGGAATTCAGAAATATCAGCATACATGACTTGCTTTATAAGCAATTCCACATTCAAACTGGTTACCTAAGTTTAAATGCACGATTTATCATGTTTGTATTATATTCATGCATGAAGCAGCAGTGAAAAGTCTTGGCTTTCTGTATCTACAGTAGATATTTTGTTCACGAATTTTGCTTTTTTAAAAGGAATACACTGACATATTTAATATACACAAAATGATTCAATATTTCACAATGTCCACTGTATTATACGCAGTCATTAGACCAAATGTTCGTCCACAATCAATAAAGTGTACTTGAACAGAGATCAAACTCAACACCAGTCATTTCTACATTGCTGTGCATGTCCATTGCACTGTACTTTTCTGTACTTTCTGTGTAAACAATGGCTACACAATTTGAAATAAAGGCTACATAATTAAGCAGACCTAAGGGATTAGCAGGCACATTAATTAGCAATGACTATGAACACATTTGGCATAACAGATTTTAAATTGCATCAGATCAAAACTAGACTACACTCCACATCCTGTGTGATTTTAAGGCAGAGCCAACAAACAGCACTAAAACTACATCTGAATTTGAGAATTTTTGCATAATTACTTTCGGGTGGGCAAGATTGTTTACAGAGATAGCAAAATGTCACCTAGTACATTTGTTTAAACAACAGAAAAGCAATATCACTGTGGTGAACCTAAAGTCAATTAAATAAATGTTTAATTGGATGAACATAAATGAATGCAAAAAACAAAGGAGTTACAATACAACTTTAACATTGTGATGTTTACTTAAACTCACATCCCACAAAACATTTGGCATCATTGGTAATCCTTTTACCTGTAGCATGCAAAATGCCACAAAAATTTCAAGATTTTCAGTTCTAAAGCCTGTTAATATCTTTGCTGGATGAATGAAATTCACAGAAAACATAACAACAGCCACAGAATCTCATATATGTAAGTGCACCTGGATCCAACTTCTCTACATAACATCGCAGCTAAGCACAGAAGACTTTTGATGTGATAAAGGAAAAGATGCCATGAAAGAACAAGAGGACAAAATGGTGCAGGTCTCTCTTCCATGGATTAACTTCAGCACAGTTTGCACTCCTAGAAGTGTTCCAGTGAGTTCTACAGCACCTAAACACTTTTCTACAGAACAAATCAACAAACTCGAGAGCCGTTTTTCACACCAGAAGTGGCCTGATAAGACAGGAGTTATAATTATTGCAATGGAAAGCAACTTGCTTAGTAAAGATGTGGAGGTTTGTAGTCATTTTAAAATCGCAAAAATCTTTAACAGTCTGGACATGTTTTTTGCCATGTACACAGTCTGCTTGGTCCAAATTTACATGTCACCATGCATGCCAACAAGTTAATCAATATCTCAACATGTCTGACTCTTGAGTGGCAGAGGAGTAATTGAGTTCAGCACAGGCATTCAATATTGGTTGCTCTTCATGTAAACATTTCATTAAGTAAGTTATATTGTTATTAACAGTAATTATGTCTCCATTGACCATCTGTTTTTTGCCATCAGCTTTGGTTCCAAGCCAGAAGAGAGAAATGGATACAAGGGGTAATGGCTGCCATTGCTGCAGCAAAAGATTCCCTATCAGAGCATCAATAACAATGAACGTCCACAAGCATAATGAAGAAATTCTACATGTTATAGAGAAACATTTTCCTGTGTTTCTAGAAATTAATCAACAAGCGTTCCTTGAATTAAATCTCGAGCTGATTTAAAGAACAGTTGGCTTAAGGACAAGCAAAAGTACATGTAGTATGCTCTGGGAGATTTCTTTGAACAGGAAATCCAAAGCAACCCACTGATAGTGTTTTTCCATTTCAAGTATATTTCTTCTAACATTGTTTTTACTGTTTGATAAAATCATCTAAAGCAAATCACAACCTACTGTGAAATGGAGTGGTAAAAAATTATGGTAAAAAACATTTACCCTTGTAGTGAACAGTTTCTTTGATTTAAAAATTGAGGAATCAACAGTCAAGAGAACTTGAAATACTTGTCAGTAATAATTAGTATCACAGGAATATACCGGTAATGTATGTTGGCAGAATGTGATAGTCAAATAAATGAAACTCATACCTGCTCGTCGTCATCATTAAACAAAGCATCCAACAAAAGATAGCAGTAAAATAATGGCCATTCACACTCAATGTTCTCAAAGATTTCAAGCTCAGCTGGTTCATAGTGAAGTCTGAATGGGTCCTGCAGTAAAATAAAACAACCTCACTTAAATGTTTTATTGACTCTATGTTACTTTCTGAAGTTGAGAATTATATTCATCAGCAGATAAGAGGAGGGACGGCCAACTGGTTACTGACTTGGGCTTGGTACCAAGTCGTCTACATGCATGCGTTACTGGTACCGGTATACATGTGCCTAATACAGGTGTATTCTCCTGGGTGGAGAGGGGCACAGTGAGAGTAAAGTACGTTGCCTAAAAACACAACAAAATGACCTTTGATAGGGCTCAGACCTGCACTGCTGGATCTGGAGTCCAACATGTTAGAAACATTACCAAACCCTTCATAGGGAGACTCTATATTACCAAAAAAGCTTTCTCCATCATCAATTCACCGGGAGTTCAAATTTCCTCAATTTATTTTTATTCTAAATTTCTTCTGACTAAAAACTATTACCATTTCATTCAGTTCTCAGCAAAAGAATTATATCTGTTCAATTTTACAAACCTCAAGAGGAGTCTTATAGCCATCTCGGATGAAACGAACCAGGCCATAGTGACCCTGTCAGATAATCATAAGAAAATAATTTAAGTTGTTTGTAATAAGAAACTGTGTACATAATTTTTAATCTAAGATTATGTTTCCAACTTTTAGACAGACATTTGTTCTTTTCTAACTACGAGAAAAAATATATGCGTTCTTTAATTTACACTAACCGCCTCGTAAATAAAAAATCCTTCTGTCAATATTTGCCATAAAGTTTGATTTTATTTTCCTTGGACTCACGTAATTTTATATGTTTTAAGAGTGGAAAATGAAAATAAACCTGAGAGAACTTAACATATAAATAAACTTGGACATCTATAAACTTTTTGATACCTGTAGTTTAGTAATAATTTTCTCCCTGCAGTCCTTTACAAGATCATCATCTTCAACAGCAAAGGCTGGAAAACTAATCACACTTAAAACTGAAGCAGCAATTTCCTATGGAGAAAAAACGTGAATTAAAAAACTGTTAAGTAACATGACTGGATACTTGTGTTAATAGTCATAGAGCTTATAGTAATTTTACTGCATGATTTTACCTGTATGTTTATTTTCCCCCCTTGAGATTCACTCACAGGTAGACCAACTCACGGTGTGATACAGGAAAGGTTTTTAAAGCCCTCCCCCTGTCCGTGTACATGTAAGAACAATANAGAGCCAGGCTGTAACTCAGTCATTGTAAATGATGTTTCTTTTACATGTGTACACATAGACTATGTACTTTACCTGAAGCAGTCATTTCTGCTAACATGAGGAGATAAAGAGATGTAGCATCTATTTGAAGATGTCCCCATGCATGGTCTCCAACACATGGACTACAGGTTTCTGTAACGAAAATGAACAAGAAGCATTTAAGTGGACATGTACATTTGTATGTACACAATGTACCACTAGTCATGACGAGAAAAGCTCAAAAGGTGATAATTTGACTACTAATTTCTATGATCACTGAAGACATGTGAAACCAAGTATTACTTACAATGAAAAATTAGCCTCAGGTGTTGCACATGTAAAAATATAAATATACAATAAAAGTAAAAAATACATGTTAAATTTGGTGCATTCCATTCAGTAATAAAAAAATTAAAAATTGCAACCACTCACTTAAGTTGTATTTCGCATGTAATGCATCTTCCTTGGCTTGTGATCTCTTGAACTTCTCAACCTTGTTAACCTGAAGACAAGTTAAAGCAAATTCATAACCACTGCGCATTAAGATCTATATATTTCACTTTGTCTGTACTACATTTGACATATAAGGCTCACAGATTACACCAAAACATACCTGTCTCATCATACACAGCAACAATCCTCTCATACACTTCACAACAGCCTACAGAAAGCAAAAGCAAAAAGGTAAGTACCAGAAACATAAGTTTATACAGCTTTACACAAACAATGTACATGTAGTTTGTTGTAAATGCTTTCAGTGAAATTTCAAATGAACTAAAGTAAATTCCTTCAGCCAAATTTGAAATGATTTCTGCCTGAAGAGATACTGAAAAGGTATAGAAAACTAGCAAAACTAAAAGATTGTTTCAAATCTACACTTTTTACCTTGAAAAATCTTATTCACCTTAGACTAGCCGGCACATTGAGGGCTAGTACTTAGACAAAGCTTACAGAGAACACTGACAGCTGTAGATGTATATACGTATTGTATAAGGTTCATTCTGTTTATCTTGCCTGAGTAAGTTCATGTGCTCTTGCTCTGTCCTCATCCATATCAGCATTCTTGTTGTATGCCAGGGACAGACCCCAGACAGCCAGAATACTATAGACATTGTCCCGCACCCAAGCATCCTTACAATCACTGGATCCTGATTTGTATGTCTCCCAGTTTATTTTGGGTGGCAAGAGTCCTGTTACTGGGTCCTGGGTTGATTCACACAATACAGCAAATAACTCATAAGACACCTTATATGTATAGCAGACATGACTACTCTATACCTTTTCTTTCGAGATACAAAATTGATACATTTCTATTTACTTACATGTAAAATAGGGCTCCCAATGAGCTCTATGAGCTTCATATGTACTGGCACTTTGATAAAGTTTATTAACAAAAGTAGGCACTTACCCAAAACACAAATGGAACAGAAAGCAGAGTCACACAATTTATACTTCTGGGTTTAAAGTTTTCTCTTATTGCTGTACAATAAAGTGCATCCATATACATGTAGCTTACAAAATAATAAAATATTGTTTGTCTGCTTGTTGATCATAAGATAAAAGTTTTCTGGGTTGTTACAAACTGTTTCTGGGTTTTAGCACATGTCTACTAATTCTAAAGGATCTGTAGTTATTACAAAAGAAAGTTTGACGTGAGGTCAAAACTTTGGCGTGTCTGGCGATATAACCTAATTGATCGATTCTTCAGAAACACCGACATCTATTAATTCTCTTTGTTATTCAAAATTTTCAACTGTTATATAATTATACAGACAAACTCTTTGTTTCAGCAAGTTACGCGGAATATAGATATTGTTCATGTTGTGATCATCATGATACGAAGATGTAAATAACGTGACTAAGACTTCAGCTCAAGTTTCTTTTAGACACGTA